GGAGCTCTGGTAGTATAGTGCCTATGGCACTTGACTGCTAACCAGAAGGCTGGTGGTTCAAACCCACCAGCCACTCCTCGGAAGGAAGGTTGGGCAGTCCTACTTCCGTAGTGATACTGCCTGGGAAACCCAAGGAGCAGTCGCAATGAGTCGGGGCCGACTCGACGGCAACAACAACAACAACAACAACAGCACATACAACAAAGTTTCAGAATCACCACACCAGTATCCCTACCAGCTATAAACCTGCTAAAACTGAAGATGTCTTTCCAATTATTTCTGTCGTTGAGATAGATCCTTTTAAGAGAACAGAGTACTGTGATTGAAAGTTCCTGGGCTAATTTTTTTTTGTGTGTGGGTGGGTGAGTTGTCAATTTAATGTACCATTATCTTCATTTGTTTTTGCTTGTTTTAATGTTAGGGTTTGCTTTTCTTTCTGGCTTAATTTTTTGGATGTGTAAAATAGTATATAAACAGAATTATGTGAAAAGCTATATCCAGAGAAGTCTTACTGTTCAGCCTAGCCTTCCATCCAGAGAAGTCTCACTGTTCAGCCTAGCCTTCCACCCTATTCTCATCCATCTCCTGTAGATGACCATATCTGTAGTTTTTGGTTTATCCTTCCTGTGTTTCTTCTTGCAAAAATAAGCAGATTCATATGTATGTTGTTATTTCCCATTCTTTCTTACATAAAATATAACATACTTTTAACAGATAACCTTTTGTACTTTGCTTTTTCACTTGACAATATATCCTGGAAATCCTTCCATAGCAGTTCTTAGGAGCTCTTTCTCATTCTTTTGTATATCTGTGTAGTACTTCATTGTATGAGGTACCATAGTTCATTCAGTCACATTTAGGTTGTTTCCAACATTTTGCGAAACAGTGTCATGTTGAATAATGTATACATTTCTTGCTTTTTATTTTGGGTGAATAAAAAAATAGGATTATCAAAGTCAAAAGAAAATATTTTTATCCTCCTCTCCCCCCCCCTTTTTTTTTAATACAAAAAGTAACATAATATGCAGACTGTTCTACATCATAGTTTTTTTTTAACTGCTAGTAATCACTGAGCTTTTTCCATATCAGCAAACAGAGAACTTCTTCCTCTTTTTTTTTCTTTGTTTAATAGCTATGGAGCATTTTTAAAAACAGCAGGGGAATAGTCCATTGTGTAACTGTACCCTTTATTTATAATCAGTCTCCTTGATAGACATGTAGATTGTTTTCATTGCAAACAATGCTGCAATTAATGCAACCATGGAAGTGTATCATTTCATGCTTGTATCTGTCAAGCTTGTCTTTCTTTTTGTGGGAGGTGTTATTAAGTTTTGATATCTGTATTTGGTTCTGTATCATATAGGACAACAAAAGTCTATAATTATCTAAACTTTTAATTGGATTAAAAGGAATTTGACTGGAATTCTAGCTGCTGCTTTTTTTTAAGAACATTTTATGGATATATATATATATATATATATATATAACACATAGAAAGCTGGGTTGTGGTGGTTCAGTAGTAGAATTATAGCCTTTTATGTAGGTGGCATAGTGCCTAAGGCATTTGACTGCTAGTCAGAAGGCTGGTGGTTCAAACCCACCAGCCACTCCTCGGAAGGAAGATTGGGCAATCTGCTTCTGTAGAGATATCACCTAGGAAACCCAAGGAGGGGTCACTATGAGTCTGAATCTACTCATTAGCAGTGAGTTTTTTTATTTATGTAGGAGACCTGGGCTCGGTTCCTAGCCAATGTAACCTCATGTGCAGCCACCACCTGTCATTGGTGGAGGCTTGCGTGTTGCCATGATGCTGAGCAGGTTTCAGTGGAGCTTTTAGACTGAGACAGACTAGGAAAAAGGCCTGGCAATCTACTTTCAAAAATCATCCAATAAAAGTCCAATGGAGCAGAACAGTCTGATCTCCAACTGATCAAGGGCTGGTACAAGATCTGGAAGTGTTTTGTTCAGTTGTGCATGAGGTTGCCATGAGTTACGGGCTGACATACCAGCAGCTAATAGCAACAACACACTGAAAAATGCACAAATGGTAATTGCACGCTTGATGAATTTCCATAAAGTAAACATGTCTGTGTAACCAGTACCCAGATTAAGAAACAAACCATTACCAGCACCTCAGAAGCTGATACATACCTCCTTGCGGTCACTGCCCCATGAAGGTTAATACTATCCTGACTTCTAACACCATCCATTAACTGTGCTCAATGATGCATTGACTTAGCCCTTAGTCATGGACCATTTTCTGTTTTTGATTCTATATATTCCACTAAAGTTATCATTCTTGCAAGGTGATTACTTATTTACTTCCTTGACCTTAACTTGCCAATGATTATTTAAAAAAAAAAATGTGTTTTTGGTGAAGGTTTACACAGCAGTTTAAGTTGCCATTTAACAATTTCTACACAAGTTGTTCAGTGACATTGGTTACATTCTTCACAATGGGTGAATATTCCTGTTATTTCCATTCTGGTTGTTCTGTTTCACTAAGGTTTTTTTTTATGTATGTCTTAGCCCAGCCTCCTGCCATGTTCCTGGCCTGTGTAATCCAAATGTCTCACAGGCACCTGTTACTTAGCATGCCCATAATGCAATGTTTCATCTTTCCTTGAACTTTGTGTTACAAGGGGGTTCCTGGGACCCTGAATGAGGGTCCTTGCCTTCTACTGATGAGCAGGAGAGGCAGAGTGCCATACAAACCAAAGTTTATTGAAGAGAAAGAAGTGGGAGGAGAGGCTTATGAGGGAGCGATAGAGAGGGGCTTCAGCCTACACTAGCCTCCAGTCCCTCACCAAACAAAGGATTTACTAGGGTTTATACAGGGTTTTAGGTGTGGGAGTAAGCATCATCTTTATTCATGAAATGGGTAGGGATTTCTGGGAAAGAGGTAGTGTTATGAAAATCAAATTGCATGAAGGAAGTAGCCAAGATGGATTCCATTGCAAAGGCTGTTGGAACAAAGATGGAATCCATCTCAAAGGCTGCTGGGATGCTTGACATGACTTATTCTGGGATGTTGCACATGCGTTGTGGTCTCTGGACTCTGGTTCGAGTCCCAGTGAGGGACTCCTGCCCTTGGGTGTCTCTAGTGGAAGGTCATGCTTAATTTTTCTGTGCATGTTCTGCGCCTGGTGAGGAACCTTGAAAGACAACTCAGAAGTTGTATCAGGATTTTGTAGCTGGTCAAGCATGTAAGGCCTTGAAATGTGGCTTCTTATCCTGTCTAAGGGCCTGGCTTATTAATTGCCAGTGGTTCTATGGCAAGAGTTATGTGGTGGTCTGCACGTAGCCATAGATTTCAAGAATACTGAGTCAGAGGCTACTTGATTCAGCCAACTTGATTCTCTGTCTGTCTCACTTGTGCCTCTTCTCATGCCTGCTACCATCTTAGGAAGCAGCCCCATCACCAAGAGCTTAAGCTGATGGGATTTTCCTGATTGCCTCTCTCTGCCCACCCTTAAATCCAGTCACATCCAGGTCCCTGCTTCCTAGGGGGGTTCTCAAGAACCATACCTTGCCCACCTTACCTCTCCAGACTCATCTGCTGCTTCTCCATTTGCTTTTGCCATGTTGGCTTCTTTCCCTTCCTTAAAAATACTAAGCTCCTTCCTGTGTCAGGGTCTATGCAGTACTCAGATCAGATGGTTGCCCTGCCCTGGGTAACTCCTTTTCATTCTTCAGTTTTCTACTTACATTTAATTTCCCAGACTCCTCAGACCAGATTAGATCACTTTGATAGGTGCTATGTAGGAGCTCTGGTAGCTTAGTGCCTAAGGCACTTGACTGCTAACCAGAAGGCTGGTGGTTCAAACCCACCAGCCACTCCTTGGAAGGAATGTTGGGCAGTCTACTTCCATAGTGATACCACCTCGGAAACCCAAGGAGGGGTCGCTGTGAGTGGGGACTGACTCCATGGCAGTGAGTTTGGTTTGGTGTTGGGAGCTCTGATGGCATAGTGCCTAAGGCATTTGACTGCTAAATAGATGGCTGGTGGTTTAAACCCACCAGCCACTCCTCGGAAGGAAGACTGGGCAATCTACTTCTGTAGTGATATTGCCTTGGGAACCCAAGGAGGGGTCACCTGTGCGTCGTGTCCGACTCAATGGCAGTGTGTGTGTATGTATGTTTCCTTAGCAACTGTATTTCCCTTTTGTCTTAGTTACTGCAGAGGTTATTGACTTGCATGCAGAGGGCAGGGACCATGTCTGCCTTTTTTGCTGTCTCCCCAGTACCTGGCAAAATCATAAACCCTCAATAAGTGAATGAGTGAACAAAGGCAGGACAGCAGGAGGAGAGGATCCCAGCCTGTGACTGAGGCCAGGGGTTCAGATTTTCTTGGTGCCTCGGTTCTCTAGTGCTCTATAACAGAAATTCCACAAGTGGATGGCTTTAACAAACAGGGATTTACTCTCTTACAGTTTAGGAGTCTAGAAGTCTGAGTTCAAAGTGCTGTCTCTAGAGCCTGGGTTAAAGCCCCTTGGGCTTCAGCTCTGCCTACTGTTCCAGGCCTACTAGAGCTAGAGGCTTTTTCTGACTCATGCAGTTGCTGGCTGCTGAGGCTGATGAGCCCAAGATCGTCAAGTAAAGTGACACAGTCCCATGATTAGCAGACAACAGGGCAGGCCACTAGTTCAAGTCCAGGAACAATCCCAAGATCGGCAGGCAACACAGCAGTGCACTGAGGTGAAGACTTGGCCAAATGCAGGATCTAAATGTGCCAAAAATCTCAGAGACTTTTCTCAAAGCTTCTTGTTATATACTGGAAGCAGGCCACATCCCAAAGGCAGCTACTTACGTGCTGACAGTAGTTTTCACCATAGAGTTGATTACCAATCTCATAATGGGGAATAACTATATCCAGGTGCCCAGACACTCAAAAACCAGGCCCAGCCAAGTTGACACACAGGTTTAATTACCACACTTGAGGTCAGGGAATAGAATTTCATCTGTAGACTTTGAGATAAAGGGCAAGAATATCTGGAAGGATGTGGCAGGTGGGATGGGTTCAGTCCACTGGCTAAGCCAGCAGAGTCTGAACCTGGTCCTGCCCCAGGGAGCATCTAGTCCAGCTGGGGATGAAAAAGAAATTGGGATGTGCAGGGCTCTGATCCTTATCCTTCTCTGGCTTTTCTTTCTTCTCAGGTCAGAACAAAGAGGTGTGGGCAGGCCACTGGGCCAACTGGTGCCATCATGGCGGGTAAGGAGTGGGGCTGGGCCTGTGGGCAGGGCATGAAGGTGACCTCTTCCTTGTCCCCTAACTTCCCCCACCTTGTCTCCAGATTTTTCCTAGTCCCTCCACTGAGACCTGTCTATTCAAGGACCCCAACATGACACCATCTAGCCCTTTGCCAGATCAGAGATTGTGCTTGTCTTACTGTCTGATTGATTAGCCTGGCAGAGTGGCTCAGCCCCTGTCTCCATTGTTACCATTGCTTTTCTATACTCCAAGACCTTTTCACTCTGGTTTCTGAGTTTCCTTTGGCTTCCAAAGGTTCAGAGGTATAGAATCAGAGTTGGAGGGACCTTTAGGGACCACTTAGCCCAATTTCTTCCCCATTGTATAAACTAAGATTTAGAGAGGGGCCATGATTTACCCAAGAGCAGTAACAGGAGTCAAGATTGAAGCCCAGGTCACCAGACTCTCTCTTATCCCACTTTTCTGCCTGGAAGTGGCTCCCCACTGAGGAGGGTGCTGTACCTCTGAAGCATAGCAGTTACTGTTTTTTTAATTTTCTGAGCTACTTTGAGATTGTCATGGCAGACCCAGGGAAGGAGGGATGGCTAGATGGCGATAGCAAAATGGCCTGTGGCTATGGGACCTAGGGGACAACCCAGGCCAGGGAAAGGGTAATTCTGATTGTCAGGAAGGAGAATATTCAAGGTCATGACATGTGCTACGCCTACCCTACAGAGAAAGTGAACAACTTCCCACCATTGCCCAAATTCATCCCGCTGAAGCCATGTTTCTATCAAGACTTCGAGGCAGACATCCCTCCCCAGCATCTCAGCATGACCAAGCGCCTCTACTACCTCTGGATGTGTGAGTGCTATGGGGATGGGAGTGGTCCAGGGTAGGGCAGAGGAGGGGGGAAGACTGGAGTGTGCCAGGCATTAGAGTGGGTTGTCTGCAGGCCTGGCAGCCCTCACCCCCCACCTGCAGCATATGCGTAGGCCAGTAAGTCTTTTCCTGGGCCAACTCCCCAGCTGGGTCTTAGTTTCTCTCAACCCCCCATCTAGGCCTTTTCTCCCTTCCCTCACCTTTTTCCCTTTCACAGAACACCTGGATGGGGATCTCTTTTTGCAGTGCAATTTCTCTTTTCTTGCTCCTCACTCCCTTCCTGTTGGACCAGTGTTCCAGGGATCATCAGCACCTCAGGATTCCAGATTTGGAGAGGAATCCTTCCCTTCAAAGCCCCATTTTTCTTACTCCTAGAAAGTTGCTCAAAGAGAAGCACATTCAAGTGGGAAATGGGAGATAGGGGGTCAAGCTTGACTTGCCAGTCCATAGGCCATTTTGTTGTAAGGATAATAGGTTCCTCATTTGTAGAAAGAGGGTATTAGCTCAGTAATCACTGTGGCCCATATAGCTCAGTGTTGTGTGTCCATTCTAAGAGTCTGGGGTTCTAATATTCTAAGGTTTTGAAATCAAGACTTTAAAGGCCTCAGGTTCTGATGGTCTGTGGCAGATTGGTGGGAAATATGTCATTTTGGGAAGATGGGACTTGGCTGTGCCCACTGGTCAGAAGGTACCTCTTAGACATGCAGAGGGAGGACAGCCTGGGTACCTGCCCCAGGGAGCCCCATATACCTGTAATGTGACACAGGGGGGATCTGCTGTGTGTGATACTGTCTTGAGTCAGGCCTGCAAGTAGCTGCTTACCTTATCAGAGAGTTGATTGTTTGTGCAGGAAGGTGGTCAAGAATGCTGTCTTTGTCACTAGGTCTTTCATGGATTGGTAGAAAGAGTGGGCTCAGGGGACAGACAGACTGGATTTCAAGTCCTGGCTTGGCCTTTGGCAGAAAAGGAATCTATCACCTATGGTAATATGAGAGAAGGAGAAGGGAGAGGGGAGGTATGAGTAGGTCTATAAATGTTAGGAAGAAAATGAGATTACCTCTGATGGCTTCCATTTTTCTCCATCAAGTATGACATAGAGGTTGAAATGGGAGATTTGAGGAGAAGGGAATTAGAATGAGAGCATATTTGTGGAATAAGGTTAAGACACTGTACTCCATGGAAACCTATTAAGATTTCTGGGCCATGCAGTGGGCCTCATTTGGGTATAAGTGAGATTGGCTGCCATGAATTCATAGCCCTACCAGGCTTCCCTATTGTGTCACTTTTTCCTAGCAGCACTCAGCTCAGGCATAGATGGGAGTTGTGGTCTTGTAGTGTTAGCGTGAGCAGAAAACAGGGCAAGGGAGGAACTAGAAAAATGATTGTAAATGAATCATGGAATCTGAGCTGGACAAGGAGAGATGTGAAGATAGAAAAAAACCTAATGGGCTGAGGAAGAGTGGTCGAGTGAATGGATGATTCTTTTGAAAAGGGCACTGAGCTAGTGAGCTAGAGAGAGGTGTCACTGGTAAGAGAGAGAGACGTTCACCAATATAAAAAAGGATTAATGCCTTTTCTATGTAAAAAGCAAATAAAATCAATAATTATACCAGGGCTCCAGGAAGTTTTGGGGCAATAAACAAGGATAGATGAGTCATGGAAGAGGAAATACAGTTGGAACACACAAGAAGTGTCCACCTTCATTATGAGGGGCCCTGAGTACCTGCACAAGTGACAGGGCTGTCAAGTTCAGTTAGATTTGGGGAGCACAATGCCTGACCCTAGGAGCTCTGGTAGCATAGTGCCTAAAGCACTTGACTGCTAACCAGAAGGCTGATGGTTCAAACCCACCAGCCAATCCTCGGAAGGAAGGTTGGGCAATCTACTCCCATAGTGATACTGCCTTGGAAACCCAAGGAGGGGTCGCTATGAGTCAGGTCTGACTCGATGGCACACAACAACAACAACATGCCTGACCCTGGGCTCTAGGAACTCTGCCCCTGAGAGCCTAAACTCATCCAGAAGCTAGATTTAAGGGCTATTAATATCTCCCTATGTCTTCAGAAGATACCCACCAGATGCTTTGCACCCAAGGAAATATATGAAACTTTTGAGATGCTTTAAGTGTTCAATTCAGAAGCTAGGACCGTAGATGCCTAGCTGTCTTTGTGGAGCTTAAAAGGCTCTGGTGGTGTAGTGCCTAAGGCATTTAACTGCTAACCAGAAGGCTGGCGGTTCAAACCCACCAGCCACTCCTTGGAAGGAAGGTTGGGCAATCTACTTCCATAGTGATACCACCTCAAACCCAAGGAGGGGTCGCTATGAGTTGGATCCGACTTGAAGGCAGTGAGTAGAGTAGTAGAGTAGAGCCTAATGTTGGAGGAAGAGAGCTCCTGGATGTCAGTGACTTGAGTGTGTGTTAGTGCTAAGATCATGTTAATCATCTGTAAAATGAGGAGTCTTGAGGTCTCTTCTGGCTGACCCAGTGATATTGTGGTTCCTAGGTTCAGCTAGATTATGTGGGGCCAGAAGAGATGGAGCCCAGATCCAGCTCATACAGAGTTTCTATTCTGGTTGATAGGCTGGGGTTTGTACTCGGAGAACCATGGGAGCAGCCCAGGTCTGCAAGGTATTAGAAGAATGGGAGGTGAATATGGCTTCCCGGAGGAGGTTGTATGATAGGTATCTAAGAATGACTGAGATCCCAGCCAGCACTGCCTACCCTATTTAAGTGCAGAGCAGATGGCACAATGGTTGAAAAAAATGTTTAGATAAGGTCTTTTGTTTCCCCCTTCTTATGCCCTTACCTTTCAGGAGAAGGTATAAGCATGGTTTTTTGTGCCTTGGACTTGGCGATTGCCATGGGCCTGGGAGGGCCAGGGACTGAGGCCATTTTCTTAAGAAGAAGAGTACTTCTATCACACTGAGGCTTTGAGAACCTCAAAAAGGGCTTGCTGGGCTGAAGGTCTGGATTGCTGCTCTGGAGACTCTTTGTTCTCTAGATTCCTCCAGCATCCCCAGGAATGGGTGTGGGGAGGAGGGGTATTGGTCTGAGCACCCAGCTTTCTTTCTTACAATCTGTATTCCCTCTGTGTGTGTGTTGTGTGTGTATCCCATGTGTTTGTGTGTGTATGCGTGGGACTGTTCATGTATGCGTTGATGTGGGTTTGTGTGAGTATGAATCTGTGTATATGTGGTTGGCATGTGTATTTGCAACTATGTGTATCTATTCATGTCTGTCTGTATCTCTGCACTTGTCTGTGTCTATTTGCTTATGTCTGCTTGTGGATCTGTGCTGAGTTTCTGATCTGTGTGTCTATGTCTGGCTGTTCATGTATCTCTGTATGGGTCTGGGTATCTGTGTGCATGTCTATTATCTGTCTCTGTGTGTGCATGTGCTCCTGAATCTGCAGTGAACAGCGTCACGCTGGCCGTGAACCTGGTGGGCTGTCTCGCATGGCTGATCGGAGGCGGGGGAGCCACCAACTTTGGCCTCGCCTTTCTCTGGCTCATCCTCTTCACACCCTGCTCCTATGTCTGCTGGTTTCGGCCCATTTACAAGGCCTTCAAGTAAGTGTTGGTCATGACCCCAGCTCCTAGTTTTTTCTTTTTGCCCATTTCTCCTGTCCCTTCTCTACATTTTTCTCACTTTTTTTTTTTTTTTTAGTCACCTCTGAACTCATTTTCCTTTGGTCACTCATGGCTCAGATTTTGAGGAGGTAGGGCTTGAGCTTCCTGGAGCCTCTAGGCTGAGGTGAGAGGGCTAGGAGGCAGAGTATTCTTGGTGCTTTCCATCCTCACTTTACGCTTACATGGGAGCAACATAGAAATGAGACCTATTTTGCCTTCTGCCATTACCTTTCCCAGGCAGCTCCATGTTGAATTTTGCCAAAGGTCACTTATCCTGATGTCCATCCTGATGTACTAGTGGAGCTACCTGATTTGGTGCCAAGAGAACATCTATCCATGTGCTGTTGGAACCACCATGTACTAATGATACTATTCACGTGCTGATGAGGTCATCCAACTCTGTGCCAAAGGAATACCCATCCATATATCAGTGGATCTAGCTGTCCTGGTGCCAAATGGTGTCCATCCTAGTGCCAAATGGGGTTTTCAGTCTTTGTGCCAATGGGGACTATTTATCCATGTACCAATAAGGCTGTGCCCATTCCACTAGAGTATCCATCTCAATGCTAATGGAGCCTTAAATCTCTTTGCCAATAGGATCCATGTGACTGTTAGGACCTGACCCTAACTTGATACCAATAGCATGTCCATCCTAGGGCCAATGGGGCTTTCTATCTCTGACTCTATGGGACCATCCATTCATATACCAGTAGAGCTTGATGTCTTGGTGTCAGTGGAACTGTCCATACCTTTGGCGATAGGTTGTTTATTCCTGCCACCATGGAGCCATTTATTTCTGTGGCAGTGGGGTCATCTATCCATATACTAGTGGGTGGTCCATTCATGAGGAGATCTCTCCCTCCCTTTATAATATTGTACCCACAGGCCCGTATGGAAATTTACAAGGATCCATGGATAAAAGATGTCCCATCCTGGACTTTGATTTAAGATCTTTAAGTGTCTTTTGCCCATTGTAGAGTTACTTAAACTTGGAAGGGCTTGGGGGCCTTAAAGGAATGGAAGCACTGGCCCTCTGCTTAGATGATGGGAGCCACCTCCTCTGTTATAGGACTGACAGCTCCTTCAGCTTCATGGCATTCTTCTTTACCTTCATGGCCCAGCTGGTCATCAGCATCATCCAGGCTGTGGGCATCCCCGGCTGGGGCGTCTGGTAAGAGGCAAGGGACTGGCCTGGGGCTGTAGGGGTGTCCTTTTGGCCTCTGTGTGTTAAGCTTCTTAGTCTGTGACTGGTTACTGGAAAAGTGAGAGGATTCAGCATAGTGCAATACATACAGTCACAGCATCAGAGAAACTGGCAGTGATTGTGGTGGGGAGGGCAATACCTAGCATTGTGGGAAAACCTGGAAGAAGGAAGCTTTGTTTCTGAGAAGCATGTCTCCCAAGCCATGGGGGAGGGTTCTTCCTGAACCATTGTTGTGGGTATCAATAAAATGGTTCCTCTGCATCCAATGACATGGCTTCTCCATGTCATTGACATATGGTGATAAGGTCCCTTCCTTCAGTGGGGTGGCTTGTGGGTTCCCCTCACCATGCCTGGGCAGTCCTACAGCTCGTCTCTTCCTGCAGTGGCTGGATTGCTACCATCTCCTTCTTCGGAACAAACGTTGGCTCAGCAGTGGTGATGCTCATTCCCACCATTATGTTCACAGTCATGGCCGTCTTTTCCTTCATTGCCCTCAGCATGGTATGTGGCCACCTCAAAGGCAAAGGGTGGCTTTGGGAAGGGACAGTGATCTATGACACAGTTGCAGGATTAACTAACTCCTCCAAGTTACAGGATTATCCAGAGGTTCTTTTAAGAGACTCACTCTGGAAATATCTGGTGGATTTTTCCACTAGTGCATATAGGTCATGGGTGGGCAGGGAAGAGTGTTTTTTTATGGTGACTTGCCCTTGGGCCCCAATTTTTCCCTGGAGGGCTTCCTCTTCCCTTTGATTAACCCTTGCTTATATTCCTCCTCCTGCAGGTTCATAAATTCTACAGGGGCAGCGGGGGGAGTTTCAGCAAAGCCCAGGAGGAGTGGACCACAGGGGCATGGAAGAACCCGCATGTGCAGCAGGCAGCCCAGAATGCAGCCATGGGGGCGGCTCAGGGCGCCATGAATCAACCGCAGACCCAGTATTCTGCCACCCCCAACTACACATACTCCAATGAGATGTGAGCCAGCCAAGCCTACTGGGAGGCAGGGCTGGGGGCCAGTGGGACAGGGGCTCAAACCACATCATCTTTTGTGGTGACCAAGCAGGGTTTCCCCTTCCCTTTTCTCCTCCACCAATTTGTACAAAGAATCAGAGTTATATATATATATATATGTGTATATATATATATGTATATGTCTATCCCCCCTCCTCCCCACTTTCGGTTCTGCTCTCACACACTGAGAGCTGTGGGCTGCACGTGGAGCTGTCCTGTGTGGTGGTAGCTGTGTCCGTACTTCCTTGTGAAATTATGTGCAGTGGAGGTCTCTGTGTTGTGGTGCTAGATGTGTGTTTAGAATTAAACCAGCCCCCAACCCTCTACCAGGCTGCCCCCTTTGACCCTAACTCAAGGACTGCTTAGGGTGGGAGCAGGCATGGTAGAGAGCCTGATTCCCTCCCCAGGGTTATGAGCTGAAACTGTTTCCACTTTGGATCTCACTGAGAAGCAACAGTATTTAGCATTCATGGTGGTAGTAGGTGGGAGGATGGGGACAGGCAGATCTTCCCTTACTCCTTCTGATCCATCTGGGTTGGATCTGTTCTCTCCTCAATCTCCTTCTGACCCTTCTCTCTTCCCTGCTGTCCAGTTCTCTATGGCATCTCCTTTTGCCCAGATCCCTTTTCCTTATGTAGCTTTTCTTTGTCTTCTCCAAGGTTGAGTGTCCCAGTTGTATCTGCTTCCAAGATTGATCCCATTCCCATTCTAAGGAAGCTGACAGCAGAGCTGAGCCTTTGCTCTGGGGTAGGAGGGGCACACAGCTGGAGATGAGAGCCCACCTGATACCTAACTCCCCCCAAAAACCAAACCAAACTCACTACCATTGAGTCAATTCCGACTCATAGCTACCCCTCCTTGCGTTTCTGAGGGGGATTGCCCAGTCTTCCATCCAAGGTGTGGCTAGTGGCTTTAACTCCCAGGGAATGGAAATGTAGGCTCATTCTCCTTGACTCCGAGTGCTTGGCCTACAAAAGCAGGCTCCTCTTTTTCCTTCCTGTCTTATTCTCCTCTTCCCAGAATCCTGCCTCTCTGCCCCTCTGCCTATGCTCCTTCCCCTCCTCCCCATTGCCTCAGCTGCTGTGGCCTGATCCTTCTATCCTGCCATCCGTGAGGACAGATTCCACTGCCTTCCTCGAGGAGTTGGGTCACATCCAGGCAGTTGTCAGGCATAAAGGTGCAGCTAGAGCAGAGGGCATGTAAATGATTATTGGTTCCTGGGTGAGGTCTAAGGAGCTCTGGTGGTGTAGTGCCTAAGGCGTTTGACTGCTAACCAGAAAGTTGGCGGTTCAAACCCACCAGCTGCTACGTGGAAGGAAGACTGGGCAATCTACTTCCATAAAGATTTTCTGCCTCGGAAACCCAAAGGGGGTCGCTGTGAGTTGGAATTGACTTGATGGCAGTGAGTTTGGTTTTTTTGGGTGAGGTCAGGTTCTAGATATTTCTGAGTGACCACTGGATTCCTGGGAGCAGTAGCTGTCCTGTTTGGGTCTGGTAGAAGGGACAGGTTTCAGAGGGCTAGGCCTAAAGGGATGATCAGAGGAGAAGGCAGGGAGGGCCCAGAGATGGGAAGCATGCCTCCCTTACTCCAGCTTGCTCTTGATCACAGGGCAGTTTTGGGCATTTGAACTCAGGGCTCAGGAAGAAGCACAGGCCCAATCCTAGCTGCAGGCACAATAGCCTGAATGGAATTTCAGGATAGGTAGA